GGCTCTTCTTGTGGAATCTCTTTGCCAGGGGCCAGAACACATTATCAGCCTCGGATGAAGCAGGGACCTGGCCTGGCCCACAAAACCTGCCTGTTAATTTCTCAGCGCCTTCCGCACTGGTCAGGGTAAACCCTGAGCAGCGGCTTCTGGCAATGCCTTGCGCGCCTCCTGGCGGCGACAAATGAAGTCTACGGTGGACTCGTACCTTCTGCCCTAAAAAGGGCTCCTTCTCCCTAGGGCCCAGGGCCCCCTTCCACAGGCTCTGCAGACCCCACCAGGGGGCCTGCGGGATAAGCAGAACCAGAGAAGAAGGAAGAACCCTGTGGGAGGGACAAGTGGAATGTCCTTGCTGGAAAATTCCGTGGCAGTTGGAGAGCAGCCATTGGCCTAGGCAGGAGCCAGGGCAGAAGGAGGTCGGACAGGGGAGAAAGAGTGGGTGTGTGCAGTGCGTGGGCACCGAAGTGGGGAAATGGGGAGGGGGGAGGCGGGTAGCTAGCAAAGCGTAATAGGGTGATAAATTTTACAGCCTCAGTCCAGTTTTCTTGCTCACAGAAAACTGAGGTGACCTGGATACTGAAATCACGGACCCTGGGAGGGAAAAACAAAACATGATTCATTCAAACCAGGTTTTTTTCCATCAAATCACTGTCACAGTCTGAGTAGAAGAGTGTCAGGGATGAGGCTGACAGAGTGCTTCAAGTGGTAGAGCGCCTGCCTAGCAGGTGTGAGGTCCTGTAAAGACTTCCCTATAGGTGAAGAGGGAAAAGAATGAGAAAATAGAAAACCAGAGGAGGAAGAAGCAGAAGCTACTGGGAAATCCTTAAGGCAGAATTAGCCGTCTTTAGAAGGCTGTGGTGGTGGTAACTCTTTGAAGATGAACAGTGACACTAATGAGTGCCAACTCACATATACTCAAGCACAACCTGATGTGCTTCTAGTTTCTGGACTAACAGCACCTGCTGTGCCATGTGGCTCCTTTCATAGGCGGCTCCAGAAGGAGCTTCCTGAAGGGCAGACTGTGATTTCACGTCACTTCAGCCAGCACTCTTGGCAACCCAGGAACAGGCGAAAGATGCTCTCTCTCTTTGGAACTCTAGATTGGATGGGGTTAGCCACATGGAGAAGAGAAGAACAGAGTGGCAGGAAGCAGGAAAAGCACAAGAGACAGGGGCTTAAGAGGGAGACTGGGAAGGAGACGTGAATGGATGTGGGTAAGGCTGAGCAGTGTTAAAAAGTTCCAGCCATTCATCAAGTCAACATTTGCTGTGGTACCACTGTCATCAAACAGTGTGCTGGAGTGGGAGGTACAATGGTGGATAAGACCAATGTGGGGCTTTGAGTGGTGTAGTAGCTCTGCACATTAGAAAGAGAGGACTTAGAGTAGGAAGAGGCTGAAAGCAGTTGGAAGCAAGAAGGGAAGGTGCACTGAGAGAGAACCTGCCTCCAGAAACAAGGGGGAGGAGATGGAATCCCTGGTCAATGTCAGAAGACATAGCCAGAACCACCCAATGGCCCTGGCTCTAGGAAGACCACAGCAGGTAGGTTGGGTAAGAGGGGGAATTCAGAAAGGGGAGGGATAGGAGTGGGTTGGCATAGAGGGTCCAGATTTTCCCTTCCCCTTTCCCTCTCAGGAGGCTTCTGCACATTGGCTGCCATCAGCATCACCTGAATATCTTCTTTGTACCATTGCCTGGGGTTCACCCCTAGGGACTGATTTCCTGAGATGGACCCAGACTTTAGAAAAGCTCTCTAGTGATTCTAAAGTGCAGTCAGGGAGACACCAGGCACTTGGAGGCTGGCTGCCTGGCCCCTTCCCTCTCTTTGGAAGACAGAGGCCATCTTAAAGAAAGACATCTGCAACAAAAGAGTTTGTATGAGGGTCTGAGGGGTGTGATGGAAGTTTAAGGACTCCAGTGGTATGGGATGGGGATGTGGCTCAGTGGTGGAGCACTTGCCTGGCATGGATGAGGCCCTAGGTTCCATCCCTGGCACCACAGAAAGGAAAAAAGTGTCCCCTTCCTCCACTGTGCCTTTAGTAAGAGGAGTAAGACAACCTAAAAATAAAGGAAAAAAGAAAATAGCAGCTTTTTTTTTGGTGGTATTGGGGTTTGAACTCAGGTCCTCACACTTGCTAAGCATACTACCACTTGAGTCACTCCACCAGCCCTGTTTTGGTTTTTTGGCAGTACTGAGGTTTTAACTCAAGAGTTTCACCCTTGCTATGCAGGTGCTCTGTCACCTGAGCCATTCCACCAGCCCCTTTTGTGTTGGGTATTTTCGAGATAGGGTCTCACAAACTATTTACCCAGGGCTGGCTTCTAACTGTGATTCTCCTGATATCTGCCTCCCAAGTAGCTAGGATTACAGGCGTAAGCCATGGGCACCCAGCAAAACAGCAGCTTTTAAAAGGGCAAAAACATTCAGAGTTCAAAACTGATGGTGAATTCTAAGTTCTCACATCGTCTCCCACCCACATGCATACTTTTTTCATCTCTACTGTCTTCATGATGGGCCTTCTGGGTAGAAGAAGCATAGTTACCTCCTCCAGCTTTTGTCCCAAAAGAGGCTTGGCAGCAGCCCAGCAGGATAGTCAACCCCACCTCCCCACCAAAACCCCTGCACCCTAATACAACTGAGTCACTGAACCTGGGTGGAGTCCTCAACTTGACAGTGAAGCAATCTGAACTTGAAACTGGCCTGGAAACAGAATGTATGATGTATATAAACAAGTCCTAGGTAGATGTAATTGTATGCAAATATTCATTCTTTTCCATCCTGTGTTCTGGCCTCAATTTACTGCAGCTCACAGTTTCACAGGGCAGTCAGAAGTGAAAAAAGAGCTGGGGGGTGTATCTCAGTGGTACAGCGCTTGTCTAGCATACATGATGCACTGGGATTGATCTTCAGCACCACCAGAAAAAAAGAAGTTGAAAAAAGTGTAAAACAGAGTATAAGAAGGAAGCCCTTTGCATGTTCAAGGCAGCACAGATGAGGACAAAGCTTGGCGTAGCAGGAGTGAAGTGTGCAGATTTTGAGCAGGGTCTTGAAGGAGGCGTAAGACTTTACCAGGAGAAAGGAAGAGTAAAGTAGAAAGGGAAAAATGCCTAAGTGTATAGGGACTGTGGAATGTTTGAGGGAAAAGGCTAGGACTTGTGTAATGGTACATACCTGTAATCCCAGCACTCTGGAGGCTGAGTCAGAAGGATTGAGAGTTTGAGGCCTGTCTGGGCTACACAACTAGACATTGTTTCAATAAAAAACAAACCAAAAAGTGTGGAAGACCTTGTTTGCCTTGAAAGGAGTTCAGGAAAAGAAGGGCATGGATCCCAATGAAGGATTTTAACTAGAGGAGTGACATCATCAATCTTTTTTTTTTTTTTTCAAAAGCTAATGCTGAGAGGGGTAGACTGATAATTCAGAATTACTGTGTACCAAACATTCTGTCCCATATTTTATCACTCCAACCCTTCCAGGCAGTGTTTTTCAAGCTGCCAGTAATGATAAAGGGAGAAAGAAGAGGGCTGTGGATGTAACTCAGTGGTGGAGTGCTTGCCTAGAATACACAAGGCTCTGGGGGTTCCATCAGCAGCAACACACTCACACACACACACACAAATAAAAGAAATAAAGAGAGTCAGATAGGAAAGGATAAAACGGAAAATACATCAGAGCTGGGGATATGGCTTTGAGATGGAGTTCATACTTAGCATACAGGAGACCTGGGCTTCAATCCCTAGCATACAGGAGACCTGGGCTTCAATCCCCAGCACTGCAAAACAAAAGCTCCTGGGTTCAATCCCAGTTAGGGGTGGGGGAAGTCAACCAATCAATCAATCTATAATCACATATAGTAAAGGGAAATGCAGACTTTGAACATACTAGGTCAGGATGAAAATAATTTCTCACTGTGGGTTATGGTTACCAAAAAAAAAAAAAAGTAAAGCCACTGCTTTGAGGTGTAGGTGTGAGCAGCCTCTCTTCACACGAGAACACAGGGCTCAGGGAGTTTCGGTGCCCTGCCTAAGGTCTCAGTAAGTGGGATGTGTAGGTTTCGAGCCCAGGCTGGTGAGACCAGGGTGGATTCCCTATCACTGATGCCAGGCAGTCTTCCTAAATTAGGCGTTTACAAAACCAAGGCTTATAAGAGAAGAATCTACCCAAATGGTGCCTACCAAGTGCTTAACTCACTCAGAGGAAATGGGGCAGAGACAAGCATGCGATTCTGCCCACCGGAGGCGCTGGTTAAAACGCTGACTCTAGCCATGCCCCCAAAGTACCAAATCTGATTAGGGGAGGCAACCTCGGGAATCTGCTTTCAAAAAGAGCTCAAAGGATTCCGATGCGCCCATCTGGGGGCCGTGGATTATGAGGTCACTGCGATAATTTGGTGAGAGTGAAGAGGGACGTGAACTGATCAAATGAAAATCCCTTCTCTCAAGTGTCACGTAACCCCCACTCCCGCTATGGTGTAGGGCTCACTATTCAAAGTTCGCCTCTCCCAAGGCGATGACAGGCGAGGAATTGGGTAAAAGGCTGGTGGCTTTTCACTCATCAGGCATGAGGTGGAGTGGTAGCAGACTGCTAATGATGAACACCTGAAAGCACCGGCCTCACCTGGGCAAGACTGCGCGTAAGGCGCAAGGTACTCGCACTTTATAGGGGCATTTCTCAGCCTCGCCCTAAGGACTTCTGATTGGCTTCAGGGCAGGTCTATCACTCATCTTCTGGGTTAGAGGTGGGTGGAAGGTCAACCACGACCAATACAGAAACACTCCTCAGTTGAGCCCCACCCCATCCAGCTTCCTGTTGCTGTCTATCAACCATCTAGCGGGCGGGACTTTGCCGCCTGCCAGTTGGCTGGTGAATATGTCGTTCATTCCTAAATAGATTTCCGGTTGGTGCCCGCTTCCGTCCATCAGTGACACTTTACAACCCTATTGGCCAGACCAACGTCGCTCTAGATACCTCTCGATGATTGGTTATTAGTGCTGTCGGTCCCCAATGAACCGAACGCTTACTGGTGAACGCTGCCGTCGCTCGGGCGGTGGCGGGCTCCGGGATTGGCGGGTGCTAGGCGGGCGGTGTCAGGCTCTCGGTGTCGGCGGAGGCGGCGGAGGCCAGGGAGGAAGATGTCGTAATGAGCGGTGGGTCCTGGCCTCTGCCGGCGGGGTCTTCCTGGCCCTCTAGGGTCGGGAAGATGGGCAGAGGCTGCGGGGAGGGGAAGTCGGGGCCGGGGGTTCCCCCCTGGGGCTGGGCCTGGCTCCGGGGCCCGGCTACGGGAGGGGCGGGGGAGGGAGGATTCCCGCCCGGAGGTGGAGCGCGGCTGGCCAGCCGGGCGGAGGCACCCGGAAGGGGGCGTTCGACTCCCCGCCCCCTCGGAGCCCGCTGGGCGGGAGGGCGGCGCTTCCGGGGGCCGGCGAGAGAAGCGGGCACCGGGGCGAGCTTGGTACCCCTTCCAGTGGGTCGTTGGCTCGTCTCAGCGCCGCTCGACGCGCGGACAATACTTGGGTGTGCTCCGAGAACGCGGCCGACGCTCCTCGGGCTCGCCCTGTGTTTGAAGGACCTCTCCCCCCACCCGCCGCCGCACTCTTTAACTCTAGGTACCCATGGCAGTGCAGAGAGGAGCGAGGGAGTACTTGAAACTCAGACGGTGCCAAATAGACTGCACGGCTGAGCATAGGCTCCAACCTGCTTACCGACGTATCCCAATCAGGAAGGAGATGGTGTCAGCACTCTGGGCTGATGACCCTGGGCCTTAGGACTGCGGAGCGGGCAGAAATCATCTTGTAGTGTTTACACTTGAGTCCTTGAGCCTCCAGCTAGGTATCTGTAAGCTCTTAAGAATTCTGAGTTTGAGAACTTGTAGGCAGAGCGTGTTAACCTGACAACCCGTGGGGGAAATCCACTGAAATCCCAAAGCCCAGGAGCAATCTTGAGAGATGACCTAAGAAATAAAACATAATAAGATACTTGGTTTCTTCCATCCACATCATCCCCCTTTGCTGATTTAATGGTTCTCGGCTTCCTATCCTTGCTTTTTGGCTATGTTTCCTTCTCAATGGCTTTCTAATTTTAGTTCAAAACGAAGTGTCTTCTCCTTTGGGCAGTTGAGAAACTCTTTTCTTCATCCCTTGTTTTTTATTCCAATATTCTGTCATACTTAACTTGATTAATTAACTTGATCCAAAGGGACTCAGTCTGGCTTTTCTCCTGAATTTTTTCTCCTGAGGTTACTTTTTGCTTGCTGGAGAAAGGAATGGGTCAGTAGTCTGCTGTGTGAGCCATGAATTGGCCCAAGGTCCCCCTTCTTACATATTTCATTGCAGACAGAAGCCATTGGTTGTTTCAAGATGCACTGGCACACACTGTCTAAAACTGTTTGATGCAGTGCCCTAGAAGGCAAATGTATCACAGAGGAGGGCTAAGTGTTGAGTAGTGTTTTAGGCCTATAAAGTTTAGAGTGTTGGCCAGCTCACAGAAAGGCTGCAGAGGGATTGATGGCAGAGCCCAGTACACAGCACTGATTTTGATTACAAACAAAGAAATTCGTTGTCTGCAATAATGACTATAATTTCATTGTCTTGTTTTAAAGTCTTGTGTACAATGAAATGGGCAAATCTGTCAGACAGTCTTATCAGTTTGGGCTGATGATGTTAGTGCTCAAGTGGCTTTTGATAGGCATCAATACCTGTTGGAAATGGATTCTCATTGGCTGGGGTAATTGGTGTTTCCTAATTGTAGTTCTTTTGATGGTTGTATACAGAGGCTTAACCTCTTTGTTTAAAAGCAACAACTGGGGTGGGGGAGGAGGCTGGTCTGACATAATTATGAACCCCTGAGCTAAACTCCTTAGTCTGCTAAAGGTACAGACTCTTCTTGCCAAGAAGACTCAAGTAGAGTTTGCTCATACTTGGATCTTCCCTTGACTGCCCAGCAGAGAGACCTGGATCCAAGAGGTCTTCCGCACATAGACTGGCCACTTTTTCTCAGATTCTATTAGAAGTTTGGGCCTCTGGAGGCCTATCAAAGAGGAGAAAAGCTGTAAGATTTTAGATTTTTAACAAATGTCTTCATAAAAACCTGATGGCATTCCTCCAGGTGGGGATAGTTCATTTTGGTGTCTTGATTTTGAATTTCTTAGTTCTGGTGGCTAACAGCAGCCTTTTGGAGAAGTTGCAGGGTCTCCCATACCAGATAATGAACAGTCCTTTGCTATAGTTATGTGGCATCCTCCAAGCTTACTTTAAGCAACTATTGCCCGACCAGGGCCTTTATGGTTTTTGTTGTTGTTGTTGATATTTTTAAGCTTTTTGCAGCTTACTAGTAAACCATCGATTTGGGTTCAGCAGTCTTCTAGACCTTGGCCATTCCCATTTCTATGACAGAAATGTGGCATGCACTTTTTCTAAGAATTATCTTTATCACTCTCTTCTCTATATACACAAATTGAAAGCCTTGCTTCCAAATATTGAAAAATTTAATAATTATTTTGAATAAAGTGAACAATGGTCCCAGAATTAAAGAGGCAGAGAAGCATTGCTTTAAAAATTGTATGGCGTATTAGAAAGTTTAGGGATGTAGTGGTGTGAACACTGCTGAGTTTATGGGATAACATGGCTCAGTTCTAAACCTTGTGGGCTGCAAAGTTGGAGTAAAGTCTATTTGGAGACGGTCATATACTTTCTTACAAGTTTATTGACTGATTTGTCTAGAGTGGCCCTTTGGATGACTTAATGGATTTGTGGACTTCTTCCCAGCATGTTTTAAGCCAGGAACACAGGCAGGCATGGTAACACATGTACTGGGGAGGCTGAGGCAGGAGAATTGGGAGTTCGAGGCCAGTCTGGCCTACCTAGCAGGACCCTGTCTCACAAAACAACACACACAAAAAAAAGAAAAAAAAATCAGGAACACTTTGCCTACAGGCTGAACCAAACCCGTATATTTCTGGGTTAAGAAATGTGTGTCATTACAGAATGGAATTGTTGGTGTTTTTGCTTTGCTTTTGTTTTGAATACTGAGCAACTCCTTATGTGACCTCTAGACCTATTTTAAGAGAACAAAAAAATGCTTTCTTTTAATTTTTTCCCTCACAGAGCCAGCACTTAGATCTTTGTGTTTCTGAAATACAGTTGAAAGTCGCCTTTCTTTTTTTCTTTTTTTTTTTTTGGTGGTTCTGGAAGTTGAACTCAGGACCTCACACTTGCTAGGCAGACACTCTACCACTTAAAACAGTCCACCAGCTCTCCCTCTTTTCTTAAAATGCTCTTTCTCCATTGCCAGCAGATCTTTCTGGCAAGCAGCTTTCTCTTAGGACCTCAGGGTGAAAGTCTCACTTTTCTATCAGTGATCTTTTTGAGGTAGGTGGAAAGACAATGATCAAAAAAGGTAAAACCATGGGACATTTCTAACTCAAGGGTATTGTTAGACTAAGTAGGAACAAAATTGCCCTTGAGGAGATGCTCCCAGGTGGCACGGGTGGATTTGTTCCAGTTGACAGATTCTGAAATGGAAAACTGCTTTTTTCTACTGCTTCATGGAACACTGAAAAAAAGGAAGGGAGGAGGAAAGAAAGAAAGAGAAAGAGAAAAAAAAAAAAGCCCAGGAGCAGACACAGAGTCAGCACTAGCAGCGTGGGGGAAGCTGGGCTTCTACTACCTGTCTAGGACGTGCTCTTTCTGAATGCTCTGAGGCTGCCAATGGCACAGAGATCACTATGCCTCTCATCAGAGTAGGCTTCAGGCAGAATTGCTCTAGGAGATAAGCTCTGCTCAGTAGCAAGAGGCTATGAATGAGCAGAGCTCCATCTCGGTGCTTTTCGGTGTACCCCAGAGAGCTCTGAGCAGTGCTGAGATGTCAAGGCTGTTTGCATCACAGGACAAGTATGCTTTACAGGACCAGCCATTGGAATCTCATTCCTTTAGCTGCACTTTGTTTCAACATAAGAATCGCTTGCTGTACCCAACCAGAAGCTACCACGTTGCAGTGTAGAGGCTTAGTTTGGGCGACTGATGCTAAGTGCTCTGAAATGCCAGTTTGCCCCTTGTGGTAATTCAGGCTGTTAGGTGATTTTTCATCTCAGCCACAGGGTGAAAGTGGCTCAGAAGGAGCCAGCAGTCACTAGCCTATACATTTCCAAATGTTGTCTTTCTATAACCTCCACCTTTCCTTTGGGGTTTGGTGGATTCTGAAAGTAGCCTCTGAGATAATACATATAGGGAAGAAGACAGCAAGCAGGGCCATATGATCAGAAGCAAAGTATTTCTGCCCCTAGTTATTGTCTAATTGGAAATCTTCTCAGACTAGTCTAGTAAAAAAACAGACCAAGACATTTCCCAGCCTTCAAAAAAGTAAATGGTAAGCCAGCCCTCTCTTTTCAGGGGAAATGAAGTCACTACTCATTTCAGAAGCTGATCCTCACCTGGGGCAAATGTAGGGAGTGACTCACAAATAAGCGTGCCAAAGCAGAGGAAGCTGTGTGTCTGTGCATATGAGATTCTTTAGAGGATTTCCTGTTTTTTAGGAAATCTGAGGCCCAGCATTTTGCTTGTTTGTTTGTTTGCTTGCTTGTATGAGGCAGGGTCTTGCCATATAGCCCACGCTGGCTTTGAACTGACTATGTAGCTCTCAAACTTTTGATGCTCCTGCCCCTGGCTCTTGAGTGGCAAGTGTCACCGCAACTAGCTGAGACCCAGTATTCTTGACAGGAAAGCTTGTACCATTTCCTGGGACTGCTTTCATCATGGTGAAGCTGTCCCAGTCATCCCCTGCTGCCCCATGTCTGATGGCCTGTGACCCAAACAAACTAGCAAATGACACAGTCACATTTTAGGAGGAGGAATTCTGAATGGAAATTGACAAGAGGTATTCATATTCAGATGCCCTCATTATCTTAACTAACACCTCTCCCCCAAGCATGCTAATTGCATGTTCCTTGAAGTGTTTGTCCAGGAGCAGGACTGGTCTGCCCTGGCCCATACTCAGTGGGAGGAGAGCTGTAGGATTGGGAGTTCCATTTGGGACTGGAAGAGTGAACACACTTGTGGAGTGGATCCTAACCTAGTTCCAGGATATGCAAAGTTGCAGGCTTTCTCCTTGGGTTCTTAGATTCTTCACCTCTGCATTCCTCTAGGATTCTCTCCAG